AGCTCTTCAGCTCAAGGCTAGTGCTCTACCACTTGAGCCACAGTGCCACTTCCGGCTTTTTTCTTTTTGCTTATGTGGTGCTGAGGAATGGAGCCCAGGGCTTCAGGCATGCAAGGCAAGCGCTCTACCACTGAGCCACCTTCCCAGCCCCAGGACATAACTTTTATATGCACTATTTTCTTAAAAATAAAGGTAACAGGGTCTGGGAAGGTGGTTCAGTGGTAGAGTGCTTGCCTTCAATGCATGAGGTCCTGGGTTCAATTCCTCAGCACCACATAAACAGAAAAAGCCGGCAGTGGTGCTGTGGCTCAAGTGGTAGAGCGTTAACCTTGAGCTGAAGAGCTGAGGGACAGCGCCCAGGCCCAGAGTTCAGGCCCCACAACCAACCAAAACTTAATTTAAAAAAAAAGGCACCATAGCTTCTACCAATGTAATTTAAAAACAATGTGAGTTGTAGAAGAAAAAAAATTAATTATAATATGACTTTTCTAAGCTTACATTTATGTTGTCTGCTGAATGCCAGAATTCTGACTTGGTTTTCTTTTCTTTTCAGTCAGTACTGCTCCTCAACCTAAACCAGTAAGTATAAGGTGTTTCTATACTTATTTCTGTCTCTAATTCTGATCTGTGGGTTATGGGTATGATCTTTTATGATGTGGTTGATTACAGTTTTTTTAGTTTGGAAACCAAGAAAAAAATATTTTTGAACTTCTGTAACTTTATCCAGTAATTTTCCATGTATCTTCACATTTGTACTGGTGAAGCATCCATAAATTTGAATGTCTGAGAGTTAACCATCCCTACAGATTGCTCAGAAGAATGAACTTTACTATTGGCTTTATTTTTGTTTCATAAGAATATCTGCAGTTTTTTAATTAATGAAAAACCTAGGGAATATGTGAAATTTAAGCCAGGCCCTGGTGGCTCACACCTGCAATCCTTACCTACTCAGGAGACTGAGATCTGAGGATTATGGTTTGAAGCCAGCCCAGGCAGGAAAGTCTGTGAGACACTGGTCTCCAATTAACTCCAAAAAACCAGAAGTGGCGCTGTGGCTCAAGTGGTAGAGCACTAGCCTTGAGTACAAAAACTCAGGGACAGTGCCCAGGCCCTGAGTTCAAGCCCCAAGACTGGTGCACATACAAAAAAAAGAAGAAGAAGAATGAAATTTAATTAGGAAATAATTAAAATTAATAGTTATCTCCAATTAGGGGTACTGGATTAGCCACCTGAAGGCTTTATCTGTTTGTAATCTCCGCCCAGGCTGACAAAATGTCAAAGAATAAGAAGAAGAAATTGAAGAAGAAGCAGAAGCGCCAGGCAGAATTACTAGAGAAGCGAATGCAGGAGATTGAGGAAATGGAGAAAGAGTCGGGCCCTGGGCAAAAAAGACCTAACAAGCAAGAAGAATCAGAGAGTCCTGTTGAAAGACCCTTGAAAGAAAACCCACCTAATAAAATGACCCAAGAAAAACTTGGTATAAATAGAGCATCACAAATTACTTTATGGCACACTATAGCATTAATTTGTCATTGTTATATATTATAGTGGTTTCATGCATACAACATATCTCTGGGGGTGTCCTTATAAGAATTCAGATCTTGTCGTAAATATTAGGCAGGTAATACTAAAATGTAATTTCTTACTTTTCTCAGGAAATAGAAAGAACATAGACTTTTAGCTATTGGGTAAGGATGAGCAGGTCTTGGTCCTTCCATAAATAGGTTTTAGATGTCCAGCTTTGTTTTCATTTCACTCAGTATAAGTTCTAGAAAGTGTTTTAATCTTGTGAGTAATTTTTCTGTTCTTTTGTTTACACATATGCATACACATGCTTTTTTGTTTGTTTGTTCCTTAGAAGAGTCAAGTTCCATTGGCCAGGATCAAACACTTATGGAACCTGGTGTAGAGGGTGGTGCAGCAGAAATTAATTGCAATGGAGTAATTGAAATCATTAATTATGCTGAGGACAGTAATAAAGAATCATTGAGGCTTAAAGAGGATCTACATAATGCTAATGACTCTGATGTCCAAAATGTTCAAAATTTGAACCAGGAACCTAATTTTCTAAGTTCCCCAAATGGAGACAGTCATCCAACTCAAGAAGCAAACTCTTATACAACTGTACCCTCTGGGGTGTCAGATACCATGGTATGCCAGTCTTCATCTGTAGACCAGTTATTGAATGAACAGAACATCAGCCAGCTTCAAGAAAGCATTCGCGCAGAGATACCATGTGAAGATGACCAAGAGCAGGAACATAATGGACCACTGAACAACAAAGGTACCATTCAGAAATACTTATCCAATACCCCTTCCTTGTACAACACATTATTGAATATCTTTACTAAAAGTTCAATAACGTTGTTTTTGTAACTATAGTTTTACAGCAGGTGTCTATTCTTTTGAGGTAATTGGTGTGTTCTTTTTTTGTTTGTGCTGTTTGGGATCAAACCCAGTCTTGCATGTGCTAATAACCAAGTGTTCTATAAATGAGCTATATTCCCAGCGAGCACACATGCAAGTTGCCTTCAATGTGTACATCTATAGATAGTTTACTCATTGCATATGGGGTGCACAGCATTTTACTTGTTATGAGCAACGGGTTTTTAATTATAGAAACTGGGGTATTTAAATTTGAGGAGCCTAATTGGTTAACTCTTACCTTGTAGAGAGTTTACTTACCCTGTAAGTGCTCCAAAAAGTGTTTGTTAAACAGTTTTGTTGATAGTACTCATTGTTTATAGGAAAATCCACTGCTGGCAATTTTCTTGTCAATCCCCTTGAGCCAAAAAATGCAGAAAAACTCAAAGTGAAGATTGCTGATCTTGGAAATGCCTGTTGGGTGGTAAGTTAAAGCTTGCTTTATTTTGAAATGACAGGGATTGAATGACAATTTGCACTTGGTTATGCTAAAATTGAGCTTACATTTCTTCATTTTATATAATATTTTACTTTTGCTTCTAACTTTTGTTATAGAGAAGTTCAGGTACATTTACAAAAGTTGGGGAAAGCATCTAGCCCTCATTGCAGTTACCCTTCCCCAGATTCAGTTAATTAATGTCCACTTGTTTTGTGCCTATCTTTATTCACTTGTATCGTCTGTGTATGTGTGTACATGCACACCAATCCTGCACCTTGTACTCAGGGCCTGGGCTTTTTTGCTCAAGGCTGACATTCTACCACTTGAGCCACCGCTCCACTTTTGGCTTTTTGGTGGTTAATTGGAGATAAAGAGTTTCTTAACTGCAGACTTAACTGCACAGGCTGGCATCAAACCAACAATCTTCAGATCTTAGCCACCTGAGGAGCTAAAATTAACAGGTGTAAGCCACCAGTATCTAGCTTACTTTTGTACTCTTTTTTGTTTCTGAAATTTTATTTTTAATACATACGTTTCACAAAAACACCATATACAATTCCATAATCAGATGTTTAACAACGTTGTTCAACTATTGACACTGTCATCCCTCGTGTAATCCAAGACATCCTGACAAGAAATATGTACAGACAACAATATATTCTTCAGCTAATTTTAACAGTATCCACCTGTTATATTTCATTCAGTCACCTGAAAGAATAATAATGTCACCAGGACATGGAGATAAACTGGGTTAGGCAGCATCCTATCAAGGAACCAACTTTCTTCCTTAGCCTCCAACTAAAATTACTACTCAGCAGCTGCCACCAGCAAACTAAACAAGAAAATAAACCAGGGTTAGTAATCTGGGCACAGCAGAGCAGACTGCTAGAAGGACTTTTTTTTTTTTTGTCGGTCGTGGGGCTTAAACCCTGGGCCTGGGCGCTGTCCCTCAGCTCTTCAGCTCAAGGCGAGCGCTCTACCACTTGAGCTACAGCGCCACTTCCGGTTTTCTGGTGGT